TTTTACAACTTGAACCCACGACAACGATCAGCCTAATCTTTTGAGCTAGGCTCACTTGGCCATCAAATCTTAATGGCGGTTAGTGTTAATATTAATTACGTAAGGACTTGAGAAATTACTAATTTTTTTAATTTTAAGTCTATCTTAATCTTATAAAATTAATAATTTGTAAGATAAAGTTTTTTTCCACTTATATATTATAATTTGATTATTTGATTTTGTTAGTTCAAATATTTAGTTTTGATTCTGTGTTTAGTTGAAATGTTTAAGTTTTTCTAAGGAAAGAATAGAATGCTAATATTTGGCTGATAGGCAAAGAGGGTAAGATGTGGGGGTGAATTGAAAGAAGTTTTATGAATTCTAACATTGTACTTCTATGTCTTCCATCAATTCAAAACATTCTAGTATCATTATTGATTAGATAACCATCCACCACTTTGGACAGGTGTACAATGACATATTGAGCAACTTGTTAGACAAGCAAATTTCTCTACATCCACTAACTGCGTCGATTCAAGAATTTGCTTCTGCTGCCAAAGAAGCTAATGAGGAATCAAAGGTAAAAAGAAAGTGCAATGGGTTGTAATGTATTAGCATTATTTATGATTTAAATTTGACATAATTACTATTACTATTATCATGCCTTCTTCTACTTGTCTTCATGTACTGCAGAAACTGAGACTGCAAGAAAACTCAGATCATTTTGTGGATATGAAGATACGAGCATTGAATGATAGACTGATGCTTACGGAAAAAGGTTTCTTGGATGTTGACGGGCTTCGAGGAAGACAATGGTTCAAGCATCTTGTGAGTGTGTTTGCCTTCAATGTGCACTTTAAACTCTTCTTGTGCTAGTTGTATGTTAAAAATTTCATATGATAAATTGCTAATTTGTGTCATTACATTACATTACTGCACAGGTTTTTGGGCCTCCCAGAGACCAAGAAAGCAAGTTGGATTTCTTCCCTGGAATAGCTGACTCTATGTCTGAGATGTTTAAAATGAGTGAAAAAGAAAGGCAGGCAGCAATTCAGCATGAGCTTTGGAGGGTGGCCAGGGCTATTCAAAGAGCTGCTTCAGCACTAAGAGGAGATTTGGCCTAAAACTACTGGAAAAGATGGAATTTATCTTAGTTGAACTGTAAATATCAGTTTCTATTTTGTGCTTCATTTTTACCAGTAAATGTTCAACTGTACATTGAGGTTAAATCACTTGCCTTGTTTGTTTATTGTTTCTTTGATGAGAATTCACTTTTCTAGTCGGCTTATATGAACTCCATTGNTAGTGAGAGATCTTTAACAAAATGGAGTCTTGGAGCTAGAGTTGAAACATATGCCCTATGCTATATGTCTGTTTGTATCTATCTAAAACTGATAAAAGGAATAAGTGTATTTTATATTGGGCTTGTTTGTTGATAGAGACGAAATTAACTGCTATTTTTTCAAATAATTATTAAACAGTGTAACTGATGATATACATGATTACTTATTATATTATATTGCATTATTTTATTCTGTTAAAATTTAATTATTACAGTAATGTTTAGCATTTTAAATATTTTAAATTAAAAAAATTATTTAGGAAATCTAAATTTAAAAATAAACATTAATTAAATTCATTGAAAAGAAGAAAAAATACTGAAGAGAGTAGAGAACTTAAAAATCACCACAAAACAAATAAATAAAATATACCCCTCGTAGCAAAAACTTTAAAATTATAATTTTATTGGCGAATCATGTGTCAGTCATGAGATGATATATCTTATCTGTTCTTTGTTGTATCAGTTACTGGAATTTGGGGGCTTCTAGCCCTTCGCCTTGCTGATGATTCCATTATACCTTTCAATTATGTGTCTTATGCGGATCAGTTACAGGTATGCATTTATCTTCATAAGTATTTTGATTAACTTTTTGTTAAGTACTATCTTTCGATATTAGAATATCAAACAAGGAGGGAGTTTTAGTTAGACGGATAATGGCAAAATTATATTAGTTTTGATAAGTTAGAATCCAATTTACAATATCTTTAGTGTCCACAATAGTTATACTTGAAAAAGAGAGTAAGTTTATTGTTTTCATTCAAGATAATTATATTTTTCTTGCCTCTATTTTAGCAATCTAATTTTTCAAAAGAGAAATAGAAAAACAAAATAATCTGAAAAATCATACACATATTTTATCTTAATTAGAAAAATTATATAGATATTTTCTTTAATTATTAAAATTATATAGATATTTTCTCTAATTACAAAAATTATTACGATACTATAATACTAAAATTGTTTTTACAACTTGAACCCACGACAACGATCAGCCTAATCTTTTGAGCTAGGCTCACTTGGCCATCAAATCTTAATGGCGGTTAGTGTTAATATTAATTACGTAAAGACTTGAGAAATTACTAAATTTTTTAATTTTAAGTGTATCTTAATCTTATAAAATTAATAATTTGTAAGATAAAGTTTTTTTCCACTTATATATTATAATTTGATTATTTGATTTTGTTAGTTCAAATATTTAGTTTTGATTCTGTGTTTAGTGGAAATGTTTAGTTTTTTCTAAGGAAAGAATAGAATGCTAATATTTGGCTGATAGGCAAAGAGGGTAAGATGTGGGGGTGAATTGAAAGAAGTTTTATGAATTTTAACATTGTACTTCTATGTCTGCCATCAATTGCAAAACATTCTAGTATCATTAACCATCCACCCCTTTGGACAGGTGTACAATGACATATTGAGCAACTTGTTAGACAAGCAAATTTCTCTACATCCACTAACTGCGTCGATTCAAGAATTTGCTTCTGCTGCCAAAGAAGCTAATGAGGAATCAAAGGTAAAAGGAAAGTGCAATGGGTTGTAATGTATTAGCATTATTTATGATTTAAATTTGACATAATTACTATTACTATTATCATGCCTTCTTCTACTTGTCTTCATGTACTGCAGAAACTGAGACTGCAAGAAAACTCAGATCATTTTGTGGATATGAAGATACGAGCATTGAATGATAGACTGATGCTTACGGAAAAAGGTTTCTTGGATGTTGACGGGCTTCGAGGAAGACAATGGTTCAAGCATCTTGTGAGTGTGTTTGCCTTCAATGTGCACTTTAAACTCTTCTTGTGCTAGTTGTATGTTAAAAATTTCATATGATAAATTGCTAATTTGTGTCATTACATTACATTACTGCACAGGTTTTTGGGCCTCCCAGAGACCAAGAAAGCAAGTTGGATTTCTTCCCTGGAATAGCTGACTCTATGTCTGAGATGTTTAAAATGAGTGAAAAAGAAAGGCTGGCAGCAATTCAGCATGAGCTTTGGAGGGTGGCCAGGGCTATTCAAAGAGCTGCTTCAGCACTAAGAGGAGATTTGGCCTAAAACTACTGGAAAAGATGGAATTTATCTTAGTTGAACTGTAAATATCAGTTTCTATTTTGTGCTTCATTTTTACCAGTAAATGTTCAACTGTACATTGAGGTTAAATCACTTGCCTTGTTTGTTTATTGTTTCTTTGATGAGAATTCACTTTTCTAGTCGGCTTATATGAACTCCATTGTTTTTTCTGGTTTGTCTTTCTTTTATGTTTTGTTCACTTGGAGTGATAGAGGAAGATAATTTGGGGAGAGTAATGGAATGAATTTAAAGAGATTTGAAGGTAAATATTTTTGTGTTTACTTAAGTGAATTTAGAAGTAATTAAAAATGAATTTAGAAGTAAAGTTTGTAAGAATTAGTGTAGGATTTGATTAATGTGACAAATAAAAAAATTGTTTAATGAATAGAAATTGAATATTATTAAAATGTCTTTAGTTATTAAAGTAATATAAAATTATAATTGTTAATGTTATATTTAATTATAAAAATGTTTATAAAAAATAAAAAATTAACATTAATTATTTAATATTAAAATTTAAATTTAAGAGCTATTTAATATTATCAAATTGTTTTTAAGTTTTTAATATTATCAAATTATTTAAAGATTAAATTAGAATGTTTCTAAGGTAAAATCTTAATTAGTTTTTAAGATAATATTAAATGATGTTAAATATTTATATATTAGAATTTCAATTTAAGAGGCAATTTAATAATCCATTACAATAGAAGAATAATAATTCTGCATTATTTTTGAAGAATAAAAAAAATATTAAAAAGAAAACAAAGAAAGCTTCTTCTTTGTTCCACACGTCCTTTGAAAAAATAGACTGCTCAGACAATGCTATTCAATGATGTTAAAGTAGTTGTTGAGTTTTTGTCTAACACAGAAAAGAAAAGGGTGTGTTTAGGCCTTTGTCCTGAGTCAATATTTTTTTCAATTTTTGTCACCTTTCTTCTTCTCCAACTAAGAAATCCAGTGGGAGTCTTGCAGCGCGCACGGGAAAATTCTTTCCCTTTCTCTTTGGTTTGTGCAATCTCTTTTTCTTCATGCACAAACCCAGCGTTGGGGTCTTTTTGTCGCGTCGCCGATGGGCTATTTCTCTCCTTCTCCGTTCCAGGGAGGTTGTGGGGCAGAAAAAGAGATACCCTTCTCTTTTCTCTTTCTGTTTTGGATTGCTTGCAGGGGAACTAATTTTCTCCTTCGTCTTTGCTCCTGATCGTGCATGCAACCGAATACGAAGCTCATTGAGAAGTATGTGAACCGAATATCACCCGCTGGGAATCGAATACGGATTCTTCAAAAATTATTCACACTCCTGGAACCGAATACGGGTGGAAGGTAACCGAATACACCTCCACTGATAAATCCCTTCAAATCTCTCCACTCCAGCAGGTGATGAAAAATTCCTCAATATGCAAATCAGCACATTTCGACTAAAATGAACATACATTTTTTCGCATTTCATCACCTTAAATATGCATGAACAGTTTTTTTTTATCAAGTAAACACATGCTTAAAGATTTATCAAAACAATTATGTAATTATCATCTGATTATATATGGAATTCTTTTTTCAATGATTACTCTGAAATATGTAAGATGAAATCAAGTTGATTTATTGTGAAACACTGAAATGAACAATATTTGTCAAGAAATTACTTTAGAAAGTTAAACTTGACTTAAAATATTATTCTTATTTCTTAAATTAAAATAATAAATCATTAAAAGAAGGAAAGGTAAAAAAGAATTGCCGCGCCAGGTAGGGGTCGAACCTACGACTTTCTGCTTAGGAAACAGACGCTCTATCCACTGAGCTACAGGCGCTTACATGTTCAATGCACTTGATTAGCTTTATCTAAATTAAAATAAAGAAACAAAAGAACTAAATTAGTAACTTCAATTTAATTTATTTTGGACAAGTTCAATTATCTTAATATTTTTAAAAATTAATTATAATATTTATTTATATTTCCTATTGATAAAGGAAATAGCATGAGATTATCTTACTGTGAATCTTATCACAACTTGTTTACACCAAATTGTAGTAAATATTATCCTTTAGCATAAGACGTATTTACTTACACATTTTCAAGTAGCAAAGACATACCCTGCTTTCTAAGACTTCTTATTTAAACAAAACTACCTATACCAACATATTTTTATTCAAAGTTAAATATTTTTAACCGACTTAAAGATCAGACAGAACCTTTCAATTTTACAAACTAAATTATAAAAATTATTAAAAAAAAGCAACCCTACACGTTGGAATATAATCAAAGTATGAGAAATATAACATTTTAGCATTAAAATAACTGATAAAATAATAAAATAAAGAACGTAATGTAAAATATAAGAGCCAATATAAATTGAATACTATATAAATATTTTAAAACCATATCGTTTAAGATACAGAAATTTAAATTATATATAATTATTATAAATAATATTATACTGGATAAATAATAAATCAAGTTATTAGATTTTATTTTTCATATGATAATAATTAATTTATTGATAATATCTTCTTTATAAAGTGTTCTAATGATATTCTATGTTTTAGTATCAAAATTTATATGTAGTAACAAATTTATCAAGAACATTTTAACTCTTACTTTTTTTTTTCTTTTTCTTTAACTTTTTCAAAATGGGACTCATATTTTCTAATTCACATTATATACTACTACAACTAGAAATAAAATAAAATAGATGAATATAAATAAAAAATTATAAACAAAAACACCGCAAAAATTGTAAGAATTACATACTATTCACAACAATAATTTGAGATCAATTCTTCACTTCGGAATTACTTTTAAGTCTCAAAAATGATGAAAAAGGAATCACGAATAATTTAAATAAAAAAATTGATTTATAAACGAAAATAAATTAATATCCATTACTTTTTTTTTTCTCATCACATAAAACACATTGGTTTAACAATTAACATAATATTAAAAAATATCAATTAATAAATAAAAAAGAAGAATTTAGTAAATAATCAGATTGAAATGAATAGTTATAGTTTTAGTATAATTCATTATTATTAGTTATAATTTAAACATTATTATAATTTGTGCAGATGTCATTTCTTTCTTTAATAGAGGAGGAATTATAGGATCTTTGTACGTATATGTATGGTACACTAATATCTGAAATAATAATCATAATTATTCTTTACACTTTT